CATTAATAAGAGTCAAGCCAATTTTCTTGGATTCTGGATACCTTAATGTACATTATATTTATCTCCAGTGAACACCCAGTCTATTAATTAATTCACGCCATGTCTGGGCATTTTGAACTCTATATTTTTACATATTACATCTTCTACCATTGTCATATAAAAGATGAAAAGCAGTGTCATGATTCTAGGACTGTGACAAACTTATCCATAGCAAGCATTAATGAAGGTAAACTGAGGACATGTCTAGGTCATTCTATCATTGCTCCAGTTCTCTGCTTCCCCCAAAGTATTTAGGTTATTGCAATTTTACTGATCAAGGTGATGACGTCTATGTCATGGCATTTAGAAACTGAAATTCATTTCATATGCTGCTAAGAAAAAGGGAATTTTTATTGTGTTTGATTCTATTGTTTATATATGATGTATCTTGTCTATTAATTTTATTATTAAATGCAAAATATTCTAATAAATAAAATTATTAAATGTGCTTGAACAAAATTAACCAGAGTGCCATATTTCTTGTGTATATAGACGCATATGCATATTAGAAATTCTACATATCTTGGTTCAAAATGAACTAAAAGCTCATAGATTCATTTATGTGTAAATAGTATTGATGTAGTCACAACTATAAAACATGTTTTACTTAGTCAAATTTATTTATAGATTCATATTCTAGTTTTAAAACCAACTCTTTGAAATTATTTAAAATTTTAGAGTTTCTTATTACAGTATTTTAATAATCAAGACTTGTTCATCTTAATAGTGAAATTACTTTTGAAAGGTATTTATTTATTTAACAAATTTATTTAAATGGAAGGCTCATATATCTATGCACTTATTACAATCACCAATTTATTTCCTACCTTCATTCTGGGAATGTCTCTTGAACAGATTAAGTGTATGCACACAACAAGCAAGTTGAAAAGTATACAATAATTTAGTCATCAATGTAAAGTGCTTAATATGGTCCCTTATGAATAGTAGAAGCTCAGAAAATTATGTTCCTCTCTTGCTATTGCCTTTCTGTGCTTATAGATTACTACAGTATTTAATGAGCTCATTATGTGTCTGTAAGAAAGAACAAAGGCAGGTTGTATCTATGATAGTGAAACTAGATTAATTCCATAGGAATTAATTTTTTATGAAAGCAAATATTTATCATAACAGAAATTTTTATATTTTATGAAAGAAAAATTTTATGAAAATAAATGTTTATCATAACAAGAAAGATTTTCTTACAGTTCTCGTCCATTTCCAGACATTTTGTATCCACCAAAGGGAGCCTGACAGCCTCCTCCACCATAACAGTTTACCCTGGGGATGGAAAGAGAGAAATGAAATATGCAGCCCGTGAAGTAATTGCTAATTGGGAAATTCACAAAACCAGAGACCTCTTCTAAGAACTTCATTTATCTTCATGTAACATACTCATTGAGATTTTAAAGAAAGCATTATAAATAATAATGCAGAAAAATATACATATTAAATACAGTACCTAAAAACAAATAAAATATGTATGTGCATAGTGCATTTGGAAATCATTTAAGCAATAAGTAGTCAATTAAATTATAAAGGGAGGGCCGTGGAGAGGGTTCAGTGGAATAAGCACTTCCCTGGCAAGCACAAGGATCTGAGTTCAATCCCCAGTTCTGCCAAAAATAAATAAATAAAGAAAGAAAGAATTATGATGGGAAAATGTACACAAAAGGCAGAATAAGGTTTGCTACATACTGGAATGTGTTGTGTCGGAGTTTTTTGTTGCCTATATTTAATAGCTTTATAATTCTCTGAAAGTTTATATATTATTTTAATGCTAAAATCTATTTTCTTTTGTAATTGCAGTGTTTATCAAAGTAATCAGTTCACTTTTTTTCATTCCTTGGTTAAATAAATTCCTTAAAAACAGGCCTTCCCAGGAGTTGGATTTAAATATCCAGCTATCTGCAAAGACCCCAGGGTGAGGATCTGAAGTAGGAATTAAGTGTTACAACAAGCATTATCTCAGCTAATTAAAAACTATTTAAAACAAATTTTCAAGGTTTTTTCTTTGTCCACTGCATAGCTCTGGAAACTACCTCATAGTGCTTACACTTGATAAGTCAGACATCCACAAATATTTTGGCTAGTAATCTCAAAAAAGTGGAAAATTTAAGGAAATTGTTCCTCTGAACTTTTCCCAATATAACATTTAGCTTTTTCAGGGGGAGGTTTTGTATTTTCTCTTTTTATTTTTTACTATTTTTCTAGCAGGCATTTCAACTTAATTTTTCATTTGTTTTGTTTTTGTTTTTGTATTTATGACAGGGTATACAAAGTGTACAGGGTCTCACTGCATAGATCAGACTTGTACTGATCTTCCTGTTTACAGCATCCCAAGTGCTGGGATTACAGGCACGTGCCACTATGCCCAGTCTCAATCTCTGTCCCAGCATGCACCGGGGGTGGAGTCAATATGGCAGGCCCGGGGATTGAACTCCTGGCCCCTACGTCTGTCTAAGGAGGTGCTTTAATCTGCTGGGCTATTTGGTCAGCCCTGGTCTCTCAATTTTAAATGAAGAGTTCAAGCTATCCTGTTAATATGGCTAACACTGAAAAACATGAATTGTTCTCCATCATTTAACTTACCACACTGTTCCCGCCTGCAGAGCAGAGGAGACGGTCACTGCTTTGTCGAGGTCTTTGGTAAAGATCCCCGCTGCCAAGCCATAGGAGGTATTGTTTGCTCTCTTGATCACTTCATCTAAAGATTTAAACTTCATGATTTGTTGCACGGGTCCGAAGATCTACACAAAAAGAATGAATGAAATCAGATAATAAATTAAAATCAAATATTTTGAAGATAGTGTAGGTTTTTCTCTCTCTCCACACACTGTTCTGAGAAGGGCAAAATTTTAATACCCTTCTCAGGTCTGTGTGTAAAAATCAAAATAAAGGCTCAGAAATTATAGGTGATAACAGATAAAGTTCATGAGATAAGTTCGCTTTCAGCAGAGTAGAGATAAATAAGACACTATTTCTAGATGTTGGAATTAAGCTTCCATGAATTTATAATTGAGCATCAAATCACTAACTTGAGAATAACTTTAGAAACATATTATCTTTTCTTCCTGGATTTTTCATCTTCCAAAAAGAAAAATAGACTAAATATAACAGTAAGTTCAAAAAGCAATGCTTGCTCTATTGGATAAATTAATGAATGTTCATTATAACATTCATGTTTTAAATTGCCCTGTCATAGATTGAAATATCAGCAATCTTACTGTTCTTGGATCTTTTCATAATTGCATAAGTTAGGTAAAATAATATAGACTTTTATTCAGACTGTATTCTGTAGCCATATGCTACTCTGCAGCTTACATATGCTAAACAGAACGGCTGATGTCTCCGTGGAGGGAAACACTGACCTCCACCCCCCACTGCACACTAACCAATGCCTGAGTTCACTGGCAATGGCTACAGCCACAGGATAGGAACTAAGATTCTCAGTCCTCTTGCTCCAGTCTCACCTACTCATCAGCTTTGCTAGACTCTACTAAGCAACCCAACTCTATTCATTTTGTGGTTCAGCCTCAGGAGCGAAACAGCTAATTTTCATTGAAAATAAAGGTGAGAATTTTAGTAACACATGAACTGACATTGAGCAAAGGAGGTCTCCTCTGATTGCTGCTAGAATTTTGGGGGGAAATGTGAGGCAAAACTCAGAAGTGTGAAACGGTTTTTCTGGTGGTCCCCTTTTAGTTACATAGTACAGGCATGAGGACTGCCATTCAGCAGTCTGTGTGTCAGATCAAAGGTTGTAAATCACCATATTGTAACCTAGAAACAGGGCAGGGATTGTAACAGATGTACTCATCTTTTGGATAATTTTAATTCCACACAGTACGTGGCTCTAGGCTGCCACGTTGAAGCTGCAAGCTAAGTACTCTACACGTATTACAGGAACACAATATATGCTTCTCCCGATAGAAATTTTTTCCTTAAGAATTTTTCTGTTATTAATCAAAATATGCAACAATTTCAGCTCTAATCTGATGATTTTATCAGGATATTAAAAAATTACAATTCAGTTGAGTCTTGAATTGACGTAGAAAAACTAAGTATGTTTGATCAGACATATGCACTCACTGTTGTTTCTGTTTTTCTATTTACTTCATCTGTGTTCAAGCCTGACTAAATGCTTTTCTTCTTGCTTTGAAGATCTTTTGAGGGGCAGTGAGTCACCTGAGGTTCCCTACCACAGCTCATAGCACAGGCACTGAGGACAGAAGGCTGAAAGATTATGATCAGTACCTTGGTGCTTTCAGCATTTTCTCATTGTAGCGCATAACATAGCACATTCATCATCAAAGGTGGTACATCCATCTCCGCTTTATTACAACCCTCAGTGTGTATTATTATGCTGATTAGTTACTACTCCTAAATGGAAATTGCTTCTTCCTAGATTTCATATCTCTGGATAACAGTTGTTGATGTTTATTTGGAGCCCATCAAATATTTTACTTTAGTGTGTAACATATTACATATATATATATGTATATATATACACACACTATAACTATATAATAATTACTTATGTTATACATAATTGTATAGATATTCATCTGCTAAATATTCTTCAACTGAAATGCACACTTTTCTCTAAATATTTCTGGTGTATTATAGTAAATTTTTTTACATAAATACACAATATACTCAGTAAAGTCCATTGTCAATATATTATATTAAAATAATATATATGTACAGA